CGCGGGGTGTTGTGGGGCATCTTGACGAGCGGAGCGCGTGCCCCCGATTTTGGTCTCCATGGCACGTCGGATTGCGGCGGCGGGCCATCTGTCCACAGATAAGCGGTGGTGTGGAGGGCATGGTGGACGGGTCGCCAGCATGCGTGGTCTGGCCTCAGGTCAGATCAGATCTCGTTGCGTGGCAACAGAGATCGGTGGCGGCCCATGCACACGATGCTAGATCAAGGTTCGTCGAGCAGATGAGGGTGAAAACCTTGCTCTCGGCTAGTTGCCAAGGCCGGCAATGGCGGCGCTCTTCTCTGTCATCCCCTCCTTGAAGGCATCGCCATGGAGAAGCTCCAGACCTATATCCCCGATTGGATGACGGCGGCGCTGTTGTGTTGTTCCCCCTTGGGGGCGTCTTTTTTGGAGGTGTGCATTAGCTCGAGGGACCAGTGGACGGTTTCAGCCGTTGAACGGAGTTTCATGTGATGTATCGACGACGTGGAGTCTCGGCGGCGTGGCGCTGCAGGGTCTCGGTGACGGATACGTGATGATGGACGCGCGTGCGGAGGTGACGTTATCAGATGTCGCCGTGGTAAGGTATATCTATCGGTACCTGTTCTCAAGATGGATTGGTGAAAGAAGGTGGCGGCATCCTCTATAGCATGCGCGCAGGCGATGCCTACTGAGAGTGCGCTGGACCGTTGTGTGCCCTAGACCCGGCGATTGCGGCTTGGTTGAGGTCTTCGGTTTTAGATGTTGGATTTGATGTGAGGTCTAGGCAGGTGGCCCCGACCACACACACCACTTCATCAAGTTGGTACGAGTAACGATAAATGTTGCTAAGATGGTAATTTTAGACTTATTGATGTATAATCAATAAAAAGGCGCTCTGATGCAGAGACTGGGGGTCATCCTCCTTTTTAGAAAAAAAAACGAACAAATACTGCTGGATATATTATTTTCAACTGAAAGCCCTTGATCATATGCAATGAACATTGTTCAAACAAATGATGAATACATTTCAACACACTGTGAACTTTTTTGGCACATCTGTCAAAGAGACAATGCGTTTTTTTAAGTACTCTATGAGTATCTTTGACCTGCGATGAACAGATTTCTATACAGGATGAACATTTTCAAATACATTCCTTGAAATGAATTCACATTTTAATTCTTAAACCTGTTTTGACAAATATTATTTTAGAATTTTTAAATAAAGTAATAATAAAAGGGAAAAGATCTTCACTTACTGAGCCGCGTTGTGGCAGGCCCATATAGAAGTAGCATGGGCCGATCAGTCTGCAACCCATCATCCTTGCCACTCCGATACAAAACAGTAATCCGTATTTCCCTCGGAAACAGAAATAACCTATCGCTCCGGTTTGGCAAGGATTAATACCAATGCAACCGCGGACGTGCCCAGGCATCAATCGGTCGATCTGGGGAGCAACGGCGAGCTTGATGGCGTCGCTTGCCATGGACGTCGGCGAGGACTACCTGCATCTGCCGCGAGACGACGACCACGACGAGTACACGACCGAAGGGCTCTCCTCCTTCGAGGCGCTGCTGTCCCTACCCTCGCGGCCGCCGGGCGCTGCGGCCTACGCGGCCGGCATCATCCCACGTGTTGCCGTAGCGGGGGCTCCATGCTTCTCGGAGTTGTCGGCGGCAGTGGCACAGGCGTTGACGACGGTGGACCCGTCATCCGACGGCCGCGGCTGCCCGATCTGCATGGACGATGGCCAAGTGGTGTGGAAGGAGACGCCGTGCGGGCACCTGTTCCACGGGAGGTGCGTCGAGACGTGGCTCAAGACCAAGGGGAGCTGCCCCATGTGCCGGCGGCAGGTCGTGACGATGCCGACGACGCGGACTGGTTCATGGAGGATTCTCCGGAGTGGCAGGCGCTTGCCCTCTTCCTGATGGTCAGCTCTAGCCTCGGGCAAAGATGGCAATTTACAATGAACTTACTGTCCTACAAAATTATATATTTGCAAATTCGTTCTATTTTGGAGACACGACTCAGGCAGAGGGAGCAGCAACTGAATCTGTTTAACTGTTTATGTCTGCAACAGTGTTGTTTTGTATCAGATTCAGTAGCAAATATGGATTGCAATCTTTCATGAACTTGTAAGGATCACAGAGTGTAGTATGTCTAGTATTTTGCTTATTTCTTTTACTTGCTGCGAATACACGCAAATAGTATGTGATCAGATTTTGTCAGTAGCCCAGAATGCATATAACCAAACACTCGGTGAAAGTTTGAAGGCCTGAACTTCGACTACAGGACATGTTGTTATTTAGATGTCGTCAGAAAGCACTGGACAAGCCAGCAAGCAGGCTGGGCGAGGAGTTATACTTTGACAGGGAAAAATCATGCTGAAGATGGTAGGGAGCAGGCACCAATGGTGTCATATCATCCCATCTCTAATGTTGCTAGCTAGTCGCCGGAATCAGCAACGGCATAAAAGCTTGATGTTGCCGGGAGCAAAGGAGGAGTGAGGACTTGCAAGAATATTTCATTTTGATGAATTGAGAGAAATATTGGCATCATAATAAAATAAGACTTAAAACCAAAGGAAATAAAAAGCAAGCCCAATAAAATAAAAAGGATATGCCATGGACACTTGACGAAGCTCCAGCTGTCCTGCAACGATAACGACCAACACCAAGGAGTGTTATTCACGCCATGAATGGACGCCTCGATGCCGAGAGCCGGGAGGTTGCAGCAACAGCCGCCACTTGCTTGGCGGCCTTCCATTAGGCAGCAATCAGGAGTTGTCTGAGTCAACAGGTGGCATCGACCTAGCCAACATGAAAATTGACCAGAAGCTCTGCCACAAGGATGATCCTCAAACATATTCTTGCTGAGTTCTCCACCTACACCGTCGAAGAGTGCCACTTAATGGAGTAAGCTTCGAGGACAAGAAGTTGGAACGATACTAAATGCTTCAATCAACATCGGATGTAGCCGAAGGTGATCGATCACTAGAGACATGTAGTCGAAGGCACCACACAACCACCATGAAGGGGGGTGGAAGGGTGTGGATGCAACTCTGTGACTACGTAAGGAACCACTGCTAGAATCCCCTTGCAAACACATAGAGGTCCAGAGCGCGAAACGACGGTGCAAACCAAGATTATACAACAAGTCGAAGGTGACACATCCATCAAGATAGTGGTGTCAAAGAAACCAACTTTGCCTGATCTGGATGATCAGATACCGGGGTTTCACCAGGAAACCATCCAATCTGAGAGTAAGAGTGTAGGTAGACCTCCATAGCTAGGCCTCCAAGGAGGTTTACCGTGCCCGAAACACTATTGTGATCAGCCCAAGCACAATCTTGGGCAATGTTTGCTTAGGGCGGAACACAAATCTAGAATGCCACCGTAGTGGAACGAACACATCACTACGACGCTCACTTGCTAATCCGAACACCTCCATCTATCCCAAGCTACCAAATGCATGCTTCTCAAGCAAAGCACCCAACACATCTACACATTGTCCACAATGAAGTCGGCTCCACGATCACCACTAGTGGGAGAGGATACGCGAAGGGCGACACCACCAACAAGGTGGTGGGGATGGAGGGAAAACTACTAGTTCCCATTAGCAGAGAGGCTGCACGGGATGGGTCACAATTACTACAAGGGTGGTCAGATCTGAAGTTAGCGGTCAAACATTTACCGCCGATGCCCGAAGCAGTATGTTAGAGTTCCGATCTACGATACACTCAAACGTACCAGATGCAAGGTAATTGGTAGTTTGATTACAAGCACCGGTGAGCTAAAGGGGGGGACAAAAGAAGGAAGAAGATGAGAGACAAGGTGGAAGAGAAGAGCCGGCTGTCATTTCAGTCGCGATCGGATGCGTAGCTATTTCCTTTTCTCGGGTATTCATATGTGGCAGCGCTAGCTCTTTCACATATAGGCTCACCTTTTCCCTCAATCGATGTGCTGGACAAAAGGGCATTCCCAAGTATGGACGTGTTACGGAAGGTTCCTAAGGCCTCGTACAATGATTGGTGCTTCCTAAAATAAACCTAATTCTTATAACCACTAGTTCTTTTCTCAACAAGTAGGGTACTTAATTACGTGTCTACCCTCTACAAGAAGCTTCAATGCTTACCAAAAGAACGATTTCTTTCTCTAAGCAACACACACTGTACAACGCCTAACATGACAACACGGGAGCGGGTAGCCACATGAAATGCGAAAAAGGGTACATCAGCACCACAATTGTTTAACTAGTAGATAACGGGAGATTAATGTTTGTGTGTACGGTTGGGCGTTTACAGTCAGCCAGAACAAATTCCTCCCATCGAGTTCATATCCAATGGAAGAGGTTTCCCATGCTTCCATCATGGACCCACATTTTATCAATTCATTCCATTTGCTTGGTAGCACAAACAAATCTGTATATGAAACTAAGCAGCAACCTCAACGCAGCATGGCGCGCGCAACGATGCTCCGTCGTCCGCACCATGGAGCAGCTCGTGCGGCTAGCAGCACGACGACCCCCATTTGCAACAGCGTTACATAGCGCAGCATCCCCTCAGACCCGACAAGATGCGGGGTTGTAGAACCACGAGCGCGTTGTGCTCGAACGCCAGTTTGTAGCACCACAAGCTCTGCCGATCCGGCGAGATCCATGGCCAGCCGACACCGGATCAGAACTAGAGAGGATTCGATGGGATTGAGAGAGGGGTGAGAGACAGAGAGGAGAGATGTGGGGCAGAGTAGAACGTGGCAAAACCAAAATGAAGATGGGGTGAATGGGAGATTGAAGTCGTTTTCGTGGGGGAGAAGTCCCTGTCCCACCACCTCTATTTGTTTTCGTCGTGGGTAGCCCACTCAGCTCCCAAGCTCCATTATTGAGTTAGCTCGTGTTGCTCAATTTTTTATTTTTTGTATTTTTAGTTAGCTCGTGTCCATCAGGCAAGTAGGTAGGCAACAACGACACCAACCAAGCCTCTATTTTGTTATACTCCATCGGCGGATCGGTCCATTGCGAGCAGATGAAAATGGCAGCGGCGACTGCCGGCGCCGGTGCGGGCGGGCTGGAGGTGGTGCTCTTCCCGTGGCTGGCGTTCGGCCACATGATCCCTTTTCTGGAGCTCTCCAAGCGCCTCGCCGCAAGGGGCCACGCTGTCGCCTTCGTGTCAACGCCGCGGAACCTCGCCAGGCTGCCGCCCGTGCCGGCGCACCTGTCTGCCCGCATCCGCTTCGTGGCGCTGCCGCTGCCGGCAGTGGAGGGCTTGCCGGAGGGCGCCGAGGCCACGTCTGACCTGCCACCCAACAAGGTCGAGCTGCTCAAGAAGGCCATGGACGGCCTCGCCGGCCCGCTCGTGTCGTTCCTCGCGGCCGCCGTCGCCGCCGGCAGGAGGCCAGACTGGATCATCCTCGACTTCTGCCATCACTGGGTCCCGCCCATCGCCGACCAGCACAAGGTACGACGTTGTACGCCATCTCCACCTACAACGCACGTATATGCTGGTCACGTTTGACAGCGGACGATGGATCGTATGTGCAGGTGCCATGCGCCGCGTTCCTGATCTTCCATGCCGCCTGTATTGCCTTTCTTGGGCCGCGGTGGGCGAACGATGCGTACCCGCGCACGAAGCCAGAGGACTTCCCGTCCACCACCGCCTTCCTCCACCACGAGGCCCGGCGGATGCTCTCGGACAACTTTGGTGAGAACGCGTCAGGCAGGTCGGACACTGACCGTTTGTGGGATGTATTCGAGCGTTGCCGCCTCACCATCCACCGGAGCTGCCGCGAGCTGGAGCCTCGCATGTTCACCCTCCTCTCAGATCTCTTGCGGAAGCCCCGCCGGGATCCTGCTACCGGAGGCGGCTGACGACCGTGATCAAGACCAGGTCACCAGGTCCTGAGTTGGCGCAACGACCAACCACCCAAGTCTGTCCTCTACGTCGCGCTGGGAAGCGAGGCGCCACTGACTCTAGAGAACATCCATGAACTCGCCCTCGGGCTGGAGCTCGCCGGGGTGCGCTTCCTTTGGGCGCTACGCAAGCCGACCGGCACCAACAACGAGCACGAGCTGTTGCCGGCCGGCTTCGAGGAGCGGACGCGGGCGCGCGGTGTGGTCTGCACAGGGTGGGTGCCGCAGGTGAAGGTGCTCGCTCACGGCGCCACGGCGGCGTTCCTGACGCACTGCGGCTGGGGCTCCACCATCGAGAGCTTCGCATTCGGGCTTCCGCTGGTCATGCTCCCTTTCCTCACCGACACGCCTATGATTGCACGGGCGATGGCGAAAAGAGGGATCGGTGTGGAGGTGGCGAGGGACGATAGCGATGGCTCGTTCGACAGGGACGGTGTCGCAGTGGCCGTGCGGCATGTCATGGTGGAGGATGAAGGAAACGTGTTCGCGACCAACGCCAAGAAGCTGAAGGAGCTTGTCGTGGACGAAGCGCGCCAGGAGCAGTACATCCACGAGCTAGAGGAGCACCTGAGACGCTACAAAGATGACAGGGGCAGTACATCGACGAGTTGATTTGATCTCTTATCTTATAAATTACATTGATGCTTTTTTCTTTTCTTATAAAGGGCGATCGATTAAGTTGATAGTTGCTAGCACAACTGAACACTCGAACAACAAGCTGTGAAGAGCTAGCTGCAGACGTCATGATTGCACACAACAAACTAAGGTCCCATATTCTGTGCGCATGCCTATGTTCAACAATTGGCCCTGGAAAAAATGTGTATAAATCTGTTACGGGAGCAAATTTGTGTGTGTGTGTGGGGGTGGGGGGGGGGGGAGGCTTCCCAGTGCTTCATTGTGTACAGGTGCCAATGATGCCATATAGGAAAAAAAATAATGTGGCAAAGCAATTAAAAAGGAGAGAGAGCATTATGATGACCCCAAAAAAAAACGGTGCTAAATACATAAACCTATGTAAAATGGCTACCAATCAATACATAAAGTAGTTTAATTATTAAACAATTTCACGAGGGAAACTTTAGCTATAAAATTTAAGTACCTATGCATCAAGGAGACTAGTTGGTAAGATTTTGAATACACTTAACGCCTCATCTAAGTACCCATTGAACATATAAAGGATGAGCCAATACGCCCAACTAGCGCCAGTGGCCACGTTTCCTTTTATTCTGAGCGCGTTACTGTAGCGAGAAGGGAAGGGATAAGGTCCCGAGCGCCGCCTTCTCCCGCAGCACCTCAGCCGCCTCCTCTCCCTCTCCACACAGCCGCCCCCTCCCTGACGGCCTCCACCTTCTCCCTCTCGCCAAGCGGCCGGCGCGCCCCCCTTCTTCTCCCCACCCGACGCTGGTTGCCGGCCGCCCGAGCACCTCCCCGTCCGCCCGTGCCTCGAGCCGCCGCCGGTGCTCCTCCTGTCGCCCTCCCCGCTCACCTCCGGCGCAGCTCGTCGTAGTGGAGAGCTATTATTTGGCGGCGGCAAGGAGAAGGGCGCCGAGGAGGTGACGCCGGCCGGCGTCGTGCCTCCCTGCATCGTCGCCTCCGACCTCACCATGTAGTTAACCTCACCCATCTCCCCTCCGTGCCTCCTTCCACTCCATCCTCGGCCATCCCCATCCTCGGATATCATGTGAGGAAAGAAGGTTTAGTATGCAATTATGGTGTACACCAGAGAAACATGTGTGTTTTTCCCTATGAAGACATCTACTTCTTGAGATAATTGGTGTTAGTTATGCACTTGCAATGCAAATAATCTCTCTCTAATCAGTAACTGTGTTATCCCAAATGATCCCTCTATTTATTTTGCATGTTTCAGGTTTCTATACTAACCATCATCAAATAAGGTGAGAGTACTTTAGGGTTGAGTAAATGTTTCAGTTGGATGTTGAATTACCCCATCAAGAGAAGCTGGACAAAGAAGAGTGCTGTGGTGTTGGCAAGGTCAAATTTCACGGCGCCTGCTTCAAACCACACTGGTAGGTTGCCGATCTCTGATGCATGGATCAGCTACACAGAAACACGCCAATTAGACCGTGCCACATGTATGATAGGAGCTCATCGGAGGGTCGAAGCCATCAATTTCATGTTTGGTTTCTGTAAGTGTGGATGCTTCAATGTGGTAAGAATGCTATCATGCTACAATCATGGGTTTTTTTCCCCTAGGTTTGCTCTTAAGAGCTAATGTGTTGCATATGATATTTTTTTTAGAATATGTTGCATATGATTTTGCTGTCATTGAGATTGTTATTTTCATTTGGATCAATAATTCCCTGTCTGATAGCTTGGTTTCTCTTCTTTTCTAAACGAGAGGGGATCACACTACCATTTCCATTATCAAAATTCAGAAGTCATGCTTGTTTTCTCACTGTGTTTTCAATTGTTTATACTAATTTAGGCACCTCTACAGCTATTTTTGGGAAATCAAGCGTCCGCACTATGGTTTCTATAAAACTGAGAGGATATTCATTTTACAGGCGCTGGCAAGGAGGTCAAGAAGGGAGCAACTTACATCGGTTCCAAGGATGCCGGCGACCCCTGCCATGGCAAACCGGCAGTGGACGAGCTCGGCCTGGATGTACCACTTCAAGTCCTCAGGCTGCTCCCCGAGCCCCAAGGGATCAAACCCGTAATCGCCAGGCAGCCTGCATCCAGAAGCGTCAAGCAATCCATCAGCCTAACAACGAACCATCGCCGCCTGCAGAGAACACCGGCAGAGGTTGCCACAGTTGACTGACGTGCCGTCGAGGTACGCCGGTAGGTCCAGCCCAGACAGCCATGTCGCGCGCTCCGCGGTGGCTCGGACGGCGAACCGGGCTCGTGACGACTGGACATTGTGTCCAGGCATGGTGGTCGTGCTCCTGCTGAAAGGTGTGGGTGGCCTGGAGGAGAGGGTGCAGACTCTTCCATGGGTGTTAGCTGCTAACGCCATGGCCGCCGCGGTCGGATTTGGCTGGTTGATCCCTTGCTCGCCTGACCGCAGCTGGCGAGGGTCCTTCTTGGCTGCAGCTGTTTTGGTTGGGGCGTGTGGGTGGTGCGTCGGACGGATCAAAAAGCCGTGGATATGGAACTAGAGGCGTTCGTACTTCGTAGCTCCAGTGGCTGTCAGAGTCTGCAGCTTGTGTTCTTTTTTTGCTTTCCTGAGGGGATGCAGCTTGTGTGCTGGCCGGAGTGTATTGAACGGTTATAATGCAGCTACCGAACTAGGTATACCTATTTGTGCTTATGTGATCTGCGGAAATTTGCATTCAAACTATGAATCGGCCAGCCTACCTACAACATTCAGATGTTGTATCTGCTCGTTTCGAGGTAATGTTTTTAACTTTGTCCTACAGGCTTCTATAGTTCTGCATGTGCATTACTTATTCGATGTTTCTGTCTTTTTCTCTTTGGGTTTCTACAGAATAGAGATGTCTATGGAGCTTGGGAACAGTGTCTTGGGTTGGAGTGGATTGATACTGCAATAAAACGGCCTATACAGCCTATTAAGTATGCAGTTGTCTTGCTGGGAGGTGAACATATCTAACTTTTGGATGCCAAGTTTTACCTTTACCCATGCTTGGGCTTAGATATGTCGTACCCATGCTTTATTGTCTATGTACCAGAGCTTCAATTGCTTTTACAAGATTTTCTGTAGGCTTTGCGTTTTTTCGGACAGTAATGAAAATCTTAATTTTTGTTATAGGGATATGTATCCCTGATGGCCTCCGCCTTCTCCCTCTCGCCCAGAGCAGGGCGGCCGGCGCGCCCCCCCTCTTCTCCCCACCCGACGCTGGTGCCGGCCACCCGAGCACCTCCCCGTCCGTCCACGCCTCGAGCCGCCGTCGGTGCTCCTCG